ATGTAATAATATTAACATATATAATATATATTTTGTATATGAAATATAGCTTTGGGAAGGTGAAATAGGAGAAGGAGCATTGTCAACAATACCAATGCAAAAATTTGGTAAGCCAAATGATATAGCAGGAGTTGCTGCATTTTTAGCAAGTGATGTTACTTAAATATTTTGTGTAGTTTGTAATAAAGAAGTATGCTATTTTTATTAAATATGTTATTTATTTTTAAGATCTTTCCATATATATCTATTCTAGAGACAATAGTTGATAGAAATATATGTAAAAAAATTACATTGTGCAGTTTAATAATGCTTTACTTGTTAATATTAACTTTAGGGCATATTTACAATATATATACAAAAATAGTATTTTATATTCTAGAATTATACAATTTGTAATAACAAACACTATTTATGTTATAATAAACAAAATTATTTATTTTAAATTACAATTTTATTGATTATAATATTTATTTACTATTACAAATATAACCAAATTCTATTCATATATGGCATCGAATGATGACGGTAGTTAATGGTAATGGCAGATGAAAATATGGTTCAGAACGCAGTACAGCCAAAAGAAAATCATGAAGACGATGAAAATGGATGGGAAAATGAAGGAAATGAAGAAAATTGTAACGATGCTGGTAAATAATTGCTATATAAAAAAAATATATGACAAAAAAAGTAATTCGTTATTTTGTTAAATATTTTAATTTCCATACATTTTCAATAAATTTCTACGTACAAAATACATAAATATAATTTTACTAATTAAAAATATATTTCTTAATTATATAATTTTAGAATTTGAAGCTATAAATGCACAATTAGATCAGCTTAACTCAGTTTTGGATAACCTCGAACAAAAAAATGACGATATTCGTGCAGAATTAATTCAGCTACTACAATCAAATCGAGAAGCAAGAAAACAATTTCAAGAGTTCCAAGATTCTGTAAAACCGAATTTGTAATATTTTATTTTGAACAGGTATATAATTTATCGTCTATTGATTTAAAGTTAAAATTTTTACATTATTCTAGATTACAATAATGTAAGATTTTTATTGTTCCAGATAATATATTGTAAATATATTGAATAATAAAAGAATGTAATACTACATTTGTACTGTTTTATAGTACAATGTAGCATTGTTTTAATTTCTAGAGGTAAAACATTTTTATTAAAGTTTGAATAATTATAAAATCATTCTTATGTTTTTGTAGAATGACAAGACACATATAAAAAATATATATACATTTAAATATTATTTATGTACATATGTATGTAGTATTATTTTTACAATACATTTATTGCAGCATTATCTGCAGTATTAACAGAAAGAATTAAAGCTTCCTTAAAAATTTCTGAATCAAAATCAAGATTATTACACTTATTTGACAATAAATGATCAGATACAATTTGACCTCATGTTCTATTATTATTTAATTTAATATCAGCATAAGTAAATATACTTTTATTTATTTCTGGTTTTAATATTATTACAACTAAAACTGTATCACACAAAATATAAGTAGGAAATTCCATTTATCTTTTCTCTTGACATTTATATTCAATATCATTTATAAACTGAATACAGGGATTATTTCTATATCTATTTAATCTAATATATTTATATATTTTGTCATTACTAAAAGTATTAAACTATATTACAGATATTTCTTACATCATAATTTAAATAGTACTTAAACCATTATATATATGCGAAATATAAAATTTTAAACATGTTTTCAATGGTAATAACCTTATAAATTTTTTACAATAGCGTAAAACTATATATACAATTCCTAAATATAAAAATTAAATTCTGCTTTAAATGTAATATTTTCCAGTACTAATGTAAATATTGAAAACAAATAAAAGCATGAAAAAAGTGATTGATAAATGTAAATAAAAATAATAAATATCACCTGTTGTATTTCTTCCCATAATATAAAATTCTTTTACATTATCAACAAATTCAGAATACATTTTTATAGCTAATGAACCTAGTTTGTTAATGGATATAAAATCTTCAATTTATTAGAAGATTCTGATACAACTTTAATTAAACTATATACAACATGTTTGTTTTTTAATTGTATCTATTTTTATGTTGTATACATCTCTAAATCCGTCAATGCTATAATATTGATCTTTGTTTTTTATATTATAGATAGTGTATCGTATTAATTAAATAAACTCTATTAATTAATTATTAACAATTTTATTTCTCATATGATAGTATTTTCTAAAACAATTAATTTTTTATTTATCACACGGTATAGTTACTTTGAAAATATTGAATTAACCTATGCCAGATGGCGTTATTTCAAACCAAAAAGATATAATAGAAATAACAAGGCGACGAAGATCCTGAGCAAACCTTAAGCGATAGTTATATTCTTGACCTTTTCCACAAAGATGAAATAATTACTAAAAAATTGATAAAACAATAATACATATAATATTTTTATGTTTTAAATTATAAATAAAATATTAAAATGGATGAAGCAAAGTTTCTAAAACGGTAAGCATTGTATCACATCATTATACTACTAATCGCATATTATACAATTATTATGATGTGAATCTAATATAATTTAGACTTTGTATTTAATATTTTATTTCTGTTTTAATTGCTACATATATTTGTATGAATATATTTTTAATGCTTAGAAAAGTTAGATCTGGTACCTTGGATGTGCATCCAACAGAAAAGGCTTTAGTAGTGAATTATGATGTTGAAGCATTAATCTTGGGTGAATTAGGAGATCCTATGTTAGGAGATCGTAAAGTAAGCTTTAAATTGTTTTTGTAGAAATGATTAAATAATTAAGAAATAGATTTATAATTAAAAAATTACAAATTAAATCTACTTATAGGAATGTCAAAAAGTAATTCGACTCAAAAGTTTAAATGCAGATACGAATGTGTCACTTTTAGCTAAAGAAGTGATTGAAAAATGTTCCTTGATACATGAATCAAAGCTTCACGAAGTAGAGCAATTGATCTATTATCTTCAAAATCGAAAAACAAGTGATATTTGCACAAGTAAGTTTTCATATGCTTATGAAATTTCCTTTGATTATTATTATTATTATATTTGTTTTATTATAGGCAGTGATAATAATTCTCAACCTTCAAGACCAGCATCATCAAATTCAATATCAAATTCAGATAATGGTGAAGTTGAGCGTGCTGTTATAAGTAATGTTGATAATTATATTGAATTGTTATATGAGGAAATACCAGGAAAAATTAAAGGTTCATCACTAATCTTACAGTTAGCAAGAATACCTGATAATCTTCATGAATTAACAAAAAATGGTACTAGATATCATACAATAATTGACTATTTATTAAGTTACATATTTTATTATGAATAATTAATATCTATTTATTTAGAGTCTTTGTTAAGTGCTTTAGCCAGAGTATTAAGAGAAGACTGGAGACGTAGCATAGAATTATCTACAAATATTGTGTACATATTCTTCTGTTTCTCTACATACAGCCAGTTTCATAATATTGTTCTTGAATATAGAGTAAGTGTAGTAAAAATTACTTATAAAAAATAGGTATGGTATATTTAATAGTTAATTGCTTCTATTTAGATTGGATCTCTATGTATGGATATAATTGACTTTGAATTACGTCGATATGATCAATGGAAAGAAGATATGGAAAAACGTAGACGTCATTTTGAAAATACAACAGGATTAACATTTTTTTCAAGTGGAAATGATAACTGCGATAAGAGAACAAAAATTGTTGATGATATTTGGAATACAGATGGTCCTTTAGATTATGAAATAAAAAAACGATCTAATGAAGTGACCCTAACTGTAACTGAAAATGATATAAAGAAATTGAAGGAAGAACTTGAAAAAAGTCGTAAAAAATTCAAAAGTTTAACAAAAAAACAAGAACAACTATTACGAGGTTAGTAATTATACATTTTACTAATATATATACTTTAAATATTATATATAAATTTATGTTACAGTTGCATTTTATTTATTATTAAATATTGCTGAAAATATGGAAGTTGAAAGAAAAATGCGCAAAAAAAATGTAATTGGTATGCTTATCAAAACATTAGATAGGACAAATATTGATCTGTTAATACTTGTTATTGCATTTTTAAAAAAGTTATCTATATTCCGCGAGAACAAAGATCTCATGGTAAAGTTTCAAATTGAAAATTTACATAATACTAATGTATATTTATTTATAATTTGTATATTATACTTTTAGGCTGAAGAAAATATTATTGACAAGATACCAAGACTTCTTCAAAGTAATAATGCAGATCTTGTTCTAAGTACTTTAAAATTATTATTTAATCTTTCCTTTGATGCAAAGCTTAGAGCAAAAATGATAAGAGTGGGTTTATTACCAAAGTTAATTAAATTACTTGGTCAAAGTGATATCAAAAATAAAACCACAATTTTGGGTTTATTGTATCATGCTAGTATGGATGATAAAGTAAAAGCTATGTTTACAAATACTGAATGCATTCAAATGGTAAGCAATAATTATAAATAACGTTTGTTTTCGAAATAAACAAATTATATTTTTTTAAGATAACAAACATGATCTTAAATTCTGAAGATGATCAACCAAAACTAGAATTAATAGCACTTGGTATAAATTTGGCAATTAATGGTAAAAATGCGCAACTGATGGTTGAAAATAATCGTTTACAAGGGCTTATAAAAAAAGCATTTCGAACTCAAGACCCTTTGATAATGAAAATGATTCGAAATATTTCTCAACATGATTCAACAAAAGAAAATTTTGTTGTAAGTATTTAATTAACTATATGTACTTAATTAACTTATACAAGAATATTAAAAAAATCACTTTTAATCAATATTAGGAATTTGTGGGTGATTTTGCTATGGCTTTAAATCAATCAGACTCGCAAGATTTTGTACTTGAAGCTATAGGTGTACTAGGTAATTTAGAATTACCTGACTTAGATTATTCACAAATACTCCATCGATGTGATTTAATACCATGGATACGTAATAATCTTGTTCCAGGTTCGACATTTATATTAAATAGGAGTATAGAATTTAAAAAATTTTTAATTTTTTTAATGTAGTTTTTTACTTAGGTAAAGCACCAGATGATTTAGTACTAGAAATTGTTATATTTTTGGGTACCGCTGCATTTGATGAAGATTGCGCACGTTTAATATGCAAAGCTGATATATTACTATCGCTAATCGAACTTCTTAAAGGTTTGTGTATTACAACAAAAATATAATTAATGTTATTGATTAATAAAAATATTTTTTTTTGTAGCAAAACAAGAGGATGATGAAATGGTTTTACAAATAATTTATGTTTTCTATCAAATATCTAAACATGATTCGACAAGGGATTATTTAATACGCGAGACTGGTAATGGTAATAATCAAACTTTATGCTTCATTACCAAAACTTAATATTGGTAAAACCTGCATAAGAAGTAAAAAATTTTTTATATTTCATGATACTGACATGGTTTCTTTTTTTCTTGTAGAAGCACCTGGGTATTTAATAGATCTTATGCATGATAAAAATCCAGCAATTAGAAAAGTATGTGATGCGTGTTTAGATGTTATTGCTGTAAGTATATTTCTAAAATAATTTTATTGAAAAATATTACTTGAAAATAATAATTGTATTTATGTTGTATGAACTTTTAGATGTGTGATAAAAATTGGGCAGCTCGTATAAAAGTGGAAAAGTTCAGATCACATAATCAACAATGGCTAGGAATGGTTGAATCTATAACAGATGATACAAATAATCATTTATTACCAGAAGAAGATGATAGCCTTTCACCATTTATGAATGGTGATCTTTTAAAGCATACAATGCTTTTTCCTTCTGGTAAATGATCTTTATATTATTTTTATTTATTATATCACCATTATATTCATTTTATATGGTTAGATAAATATTTTATTGCGATAATAATATTAAATTTGTAATAGGTAATGTTGCGTCATTTAATACAGATGATCGATTTTCAATTATGAAAAATTCTTCAGAATCATCAGAAAACCAAAGTCGTCCTGTTAGTAGGTAAGTTTTATGTACCAGGTATCTTGTTTTAATCTTTCTATACAATTATCACATGAATTATTTGTTGTTTGAAATAATATTTCAGATAGAAAATATTTTACTCCAAAAAGGATTTAATATCTTATTATATGCAGTTTTTTATTTTTGTTATGTTGAATAATGTTATCAGATAGCGTTATTGTTTAGAGTATAATTTCGATTAACAAATAGTTTGAAAAATACATTGTTATATGTTTTTTTTTTCCATTTTAGATATAAAGATTTTGATGAAATAGGTGAACTTATGGCACGTTCTAAATCTCGTATGTCTGTTGGCTCTGGTATTGAAGATCTTTATTACAATTCTAAAGTTAAATTTCCCGAAGCAGATAGTTCACATGTATTAATATAAAAGGTAATTAGAATTATAAAAATATATAATTTATATGAAAATCATATTTTAATTATATTTTAATATACTTGATGGTACAAATTTTAAACATTATTATCATGACACGATCACACGTGTTTATTTTAGGTATGATGCACTATACACAATGAAAGCAACAAAATTGATGCTTGTAGTAACTTTTACATAGTTTATATAATATGTATTTATTCACGGGAGAATTTTAAAAAGCTTTAACAACTATATACGTGATAAATTATTTTGATCTCATCATGTAGTATATTTTATTTTTTTATAAGTTAATTTAATTTATAGATGAACATTTAGTTTAAACTGATTTCTAGTCTTATAACTTTATAAAATAATTAATATAATTAATAATGTGATAATTTTTTTATTATGTAATTGTAGTATGTGCAATATTATAATGCTATAACTGAAGAATTATAATAATGGTACTACACAGATGTTTCTGTTGCATATCATTCAATAATAAAAAATTGATAAGCAGCAAAGGAAACAAAAAATTTAAAAACCTCATAATCAGAGTTAATAATTGATAAAAATCTATTTTATATTAAAACAGTTTATAAAATTGTACTTTCTGTTAATTATTATATATTCTTTTATTTTTAATTTTTATATGTTGAAATATTGATGTAGAACAATATTATATATGTTAGAAAAATGGTCTTATTCCTAAGCATGTTATATTATATAACGTAATAAGTAATATATAAATTATAAAATTTACATTTACTGAAAAATTCTTGGTTTGTTGTTTGAACTTAGACTTTTTCGTATAATAGAATGAGCAGCTGGTCTAAATACAATAGTATAACTATTATCGCCATCTGTATAAAATGTATGTTCCTTTAAATCCCAACTAACAGGACTATCTAAAAATCCTTGCACATGTAAAGCACCCCAAGGTAAAGTATCTTTCATTGATACATATTCCTTCATGACATTGTATATATTTTTTATTTGTTTCCTCGTGAAAAAACCAGTCCATTGTAAGTACTGTACTTGACCAACATTTATACTTGGGGATGGACATTTATATGTATTTACATAATCATTTTTTTGATCATTTTTCCTGAGGAAAATTAAGTTATTACTATTATTATTACTATTATTATTATTATAAAAATTAAAAGCATTTTAATCATTTATCTAAGATATTATATGTACAAGTCACCACAGATACTAAGAACTCCAAGCCATTCAAAAAATTTATCGTTATCGAATTCATTTGAAATTATTGGTATTGGTAAAGAATATTCAGTTCGTTGTAAAAAAGTTTGTTGACAAAGAAATACATTATACTTGTGTTCATGAAACCATGCTGCCACAGATGAAGGACACAAATTTTCATCTGAAAAATAAAATAAATTAAATAAAATCATCTCATAGAAATAAATAAAATTTAAAAAGAATTAAAAAATTACCTGGTGGGTTCCATGACACAATTACATCAAATCTTTTATTAAAACGCTCCTTCAATGATGTTTGAATATGTTCATAATTCTTCTTGCCAGGTGTAAAACTTTCGGATTTTAAATCAATAGTCGAGACTTTTGATTTACGTTACCGATAAAAAAAAAATAAAGAAAAATATGTACAAAGTATGTTAATAACTTTAAGACACAATGTAAATCAATAAACGATTAAAAGTTATTTTTTGTTAAGACCAACAAAATACTCTTTTTTTTATAATTTTTTTCGTTTTCGAATGTTTTATATTATCATATAGTATACTATAATAAACTAACATATAATCGGAATAATATAGTTTTACTTTTATTGTTATATATAACTTTATTTCATTCAAATATATATATATATATGTATATGTTTCTTTTATATTATTCATAAATATTTAGTTACATTTAATATTTTATTATGCAAAAGATAAACTTGGACTTGTATCCAAATTTGTATTAGTATTTTTTAATTCTTCTCTAAAAATTTGTAATTCTTCAGGAGATATTCCTTGCCAATTCTCTAATTCTGATAGACGATATAAATTATCACAGTAATGCATTAATAATTCTACAGTTTTCATTGATAAATCATGGCTATACAATATTTTGAGTTCCTCTAGTTTGTGCATTGAATTTTGTAAAAATATTCTTCTTATTGTTTCATCTCCAATACCAGTTGATGAACCCAAGTGAATAAATTTAATATTCTTACAATAAGAAAGTAGAAACTCTAGATGCATGTTTGCACACTCTGCTACACATTTGATTCTTTCTAAACACTGGAATGGCCGAACTGTAAACTTTCTTGGATAAATTGGGGCTTGCTCTAAGAATTCACAGTTGTAAAAAACTAGGTTGTTTATATCTGGGCAATATTGACTTATAAATATGAGTGCATTCAAATCAATTCCGTCTACATGTTCCAAGTGTAGACTTGTAATTGTACAACCTTTTATTTCTAATAATGTTTTTACTCCATGGAGATAAAAATCACAGGATAAAAGTTTTAATTCTTTTAAGTAATTAAGAGCAGCTAAAATTGTCAAGTCAGTAATTCTATCGTCACGCAATATGCAAAGACTTGTAATATATGGACACATGTCAATTAAAAGATATAAATGTTCCATACTGAAATTTCGGCTTTCAAACGTTTTTATATGAAAACAATTTGTAGTATTAATATCTTTTTGATGAATATGTTCTAAGACATATCCAAACTCATCACATCTACCAATATCTTCTATATTTAAATGGTCTAAAAAGAGATTTGCATAACCAGGTACAGTCATAGAAGTTTTATACAACTTAACTTGTTTTAAATATTTGCAAGACAGTAAAGGACCAACACTGCGTTCAGTTACAGATCTAGATGCAGTTACATCTAACTTTTGCAGTTTTTTGCAGTTCTGAACTAGAGCTGTTATAATATTATCTGTGCAATCAAAGCACAAAGTAAAACATACTAAATTTGGCATAGCAATTATGCCATTAATAATAACCTTTTCAATATCAGATGTTTTCCAACCAGCTGATCCTGAGCCTAAATCCAAAACTTCAAGTCCAGTCATGTTAGGTAATTTATTATAAAGAACATGTCGCATGATTTTGGGCCAAACAGAAAATTCAATTCTTTTTAAATGTTTATCTACAACCACTTCTGATAAATGAAGAGCAATAGTTATTTCTGATAAAAAGGTTGTAGTTAAAACATAATCATTATATGTACCTCTAGTTTCTTTGATTAGATTAACTATTGCAGTTAATACTGTTTTAGACATTTTATCATATAAATGTCGAGGTACATTATAACTTAATAAATATTTCATAAATTCTAACATTGAATATAATTTATTATGCCCATATTCTGGATTAGCTTTGGAAATTATACAAATATGTTTTGTCAAGTATCTACCAAAAACAGTTACAAATTCTCCAATAGAATATAATGCTAGATCCACTAGCGTATGTACCTGGTGCTTTCTTGGCATTTCGAGTTTTTATTATTTTTCTTCTTAGAACTTACCATAACGTGTATGTACTTTACGATCAAAGAAGGAAACTTTGCCTTCTAAACCAAGTTTTTGAAAGTCCTCTATTAACAAAGATAATACCAAATGCCCAGATGGAGTAATGGCAACTGTACTGTCTAAATCTATTTTATTTCTAATTGTTAAAAGCGTCAACTCTCCTAAAAGCATTTATAAAAATATATATAATATAATAAAATCATTTTATTCTTTCAACTATATTTTCAATGAAACCTTTATATTTGTAATAGAAAATGTTCAACTCATTTTTTTTATTGAATTTAATTTAATTTTGAAACAAGAAATTATTTCAAATCTAAGTTTTAGGCGATCAAAAAAACATTAAAATAAATTATTTAATCGTTTACCTTTTTTGATAAATGCTTCAATGAATTCTTTGTTTAATAATTCAAATATATTTAGTCTATTAATTCGATAATAATCACTATCTTCGGAAATACAAGCTCGCAATTCATCCGGAATTCTAACTGTATCAGGAAGTACCAAGGATACCTGGCAAAAAGCCAACAGTAATTGCGAATTATGTAAAGATTTCTTAAAGCATCACCTTTATGAAATTAGTATTAATTAAAATTCATTTTCTACATACAGAATGGTTAAAATAATGTGACTCAACTATGTTCGGTACATTAGTATTCCTGTAATTTCTTTTTTCAGTAGAAAAATGATGTTGAGGTGATTTGAAATTCCATACTTCTGGACTAAGCATTTTAATAATAAAAGTATTATTTATAAGATATAAGTATTCTTATTTTTATACTACTACACATAAACGTGTGCACTGCACATTGGTATCTTTTAAAATTCTTTTATATGTACACGTGCTTTCGCTGATTATTGATCATACACTTTTTATGCATTATTCCAAAAAAACACTTCACAAGCCTCGGTAGCGCAGTAGGCAGCGCGTAAGTCTCATAATCTTAAGGTCGTGAGTTCGATCCTCACCCGGGGCAAATTAACTTTTTCTTTACCTACAATTTATATAAATATATTTTTACGAATTTAAAAATATTTTTGTGCGCTATATGTGTGTTAAAACAATTTGTAGAAAAAGTAAATTGTTTAAAATTTTTATTCATAATTGTAAACTTATTTGTTTCCTTAAAAAATTTAGTGCTAAAATGAAGCTTACATGTATAATATTTAATGTATATATCCAAAAAGAATGTTTTATTTTATACTTTCTTATTAACTAATATAAATACAAAGATAAAAATATAATTATTTTCTTTTTCTTCTAACTTCATTTGGATTTTTACGCATCCAATATTTTAAGGGCCCTTTTGACCTTATACCTAACATAGCTGATTTAGAATGAACATCGCGCATCATGAATGGAGAATATTCAGCTATATGATCATCTTGTAAAGGATTATTTTTAGTACGTGCCAGTCTTGATGGTCTTTGATCAGGTACTGGTTGATCTTCACAAAGCAGAGGATTATTTGCATGCTTTCCACCTTGTGGCATTGGCAAAGAAAACTACAAATTTATAAAATTTATAAATATTAATATAAAAAATTTATATTAATTAATAATATAAAAAACAAATGTTATACCCGTTTTCCTTTTTTTGAAATTGGCTTCCGGAAATTAATGTGAATTTTTTGTTTTCCTTCTTCATTTATTGTAACTGCAACTCTTTTTAATGTTTTATTACCACAATTGGGGCAAAAAATTTTGGTCATAATACTAGTAGTTTTATAACATGCATAACACCTAAAAATGTATGTTCGCATTTGTTTAATTGTTCTACCATCTAATGAAACTACATTTAATCCTATTTGTTTCAAAACATTTTGCATGGCAAAATCCATTGTTAAACATGCAACAGTTACAGACTTTTGTTCAAGAAAGTCTGAATCTAGTTCCTTCTTTATATTGTAAATATTTCCTGAAATAAGAACATTTTTTTTATATATATATATACATACACATGCGCGCGCGCGCGCGAAATATTAAAAGAAATAGATATATATACTTGAAATATTAAAGAATCTAACCAGGTGTAATCCAACCACTATCATCATCAGCATCTTCATCATCATCATAGTCGCCATTATCAACATCATTATCATTGTCATCATCATCATCATCATCATCATCATCATCATCATCATCATCATCATCATCATCATTATCATCATCATTATCATCATCTTCATCATTACTTCTATAATTTTCATATTCATTATATTTATCTTTATCATTATTGTTTTTTTTCAATGGAACAAGAATATCATCAACATTATGTTCAATATCATTTTTATCTTGAACTATAAACTCTGTTGATTCACAAGTTAATTTTGCAAATTTAGAAGACAAATCTTCTGTTTGATCTTGATCCATATCAGAATTTGCTGTTTCATAATCAGATTCAACATCAGACGATTTACTATCGATAGATTCAATTTCTTCACTTTTTTCTTCATAATCAAGATTCTTTACATCATTTATCAAATTTATTTTTATTTTTTTTTCATTATTACTCTCTGAACACTTTTCTTGTTTAGAATTTTCATAATTATTATGTATTGTGGATTCCTCATTAACATTTTTCTATATATTAAAAAGATATAATTATCACATTAATTAATAATAAATAATTTATTAGTATCATATTTATAAATTATTATATTAGTTAAAATGAAAATATATTTACTTTTTTTTCTGGCATATAAAAGCCAGCTAAAGAAATATGAAGATCTTCAGCCTTTTCAATGTTGGAATCTATAGTTTGAGCTATTGTTGGCATAGTTTTCAAATGATTAATTCCTATTTTTTCTTTTTCTAGCTGATATGTTAATGCAATCACTTTTATATCAGTTGCTGATAAACTAGTGTAATCACCAGTTTTTTTGGCAAATTCTGTAACTGTAAAGATGAAATAAAAACTACTATAAACTCATGATGGTTAAAGCATTACTTAAATGAAATTAAATTTTAGTACCAAATGTAATGTTTTCAGAGTGTGCATTTTGTATTGTTAAATCATATGGTAGGACAACTAGTCTTCTTAATTGCCTTTTATTTTTAATTTCATTCACTACATCTTGTTCTGTTATTATGTTAACACCGATAGTCTAAAATTTATATATTTTTATTATTATGACATTAATACTTATATAATACTATAAAATTATATAAGATTAATGTTGTCAAGCATAATTAACACATAACTGGTATAAATATTACTAATAACGGGAAATTAAATGATCGTATTGACATTATATTCATTTGAAAAAATTTTACCTGCAAAGGTGCATTTTGTATAAAAGCACTTGTATCAACAACCAAATATTGTACTTTTTGTGTTTCACTCATATTTAGTAATTTTTATAATAAGAATCTTTCATAAGTTTATATCCACGTGTTCTGCAGAAGTTTAATTGTTAACATTAATGTACGTTCATATGAATATTATATACTTTCAAATATATATGCTGTGTTACAATAATTGTATTTTTTGGCTTAGATACCTACACATTTATCGTATATCTTATAAATAAATTTTGTAAAAAATTAAAAATCGCAATTACTAATCACGATAATACAATAAATATAAACAATACCAACTGCTTAAATATTAAATGGCATTATGTATATGCAAAATTTTTTCATGAGAATGATCCTTGTTTACATAAAAACACTATTGTATATGTTATGCTTGATGTACAAAAATGTTATTGTTGCTTCTTAAATACCTTTAAACGTAAGAAATACATAAGGAATAATTTGAATATCATATAGTTATTAAATTATTTTCAGTTAATAATTTTACAGTATTAACCAGGTTCGTAATATTATTAATATTATCATCAAATTTAATTAAAGTCGTTCTTAAAGTAGTATGAAATTAAAATATATGAAAATACTTAAATAATCAGTTGGTGATTTTAACTTATATAATTAAAAAGATTGAAAAAAGCAGCCAACATTTTTTCATTTTTAAAGGGGAATCCCTTAATAAATGTGACAAATATGGAAATAAAATATACATGTTTAAAGGAAGAATTCTTGTTAGTTACTCAATATCACATTAATGAGAATATATTAAGTGCACTTAAAGAATATTATGCAAAATACATAAATTCCAACCGTAAATTGAGTCAGATTAAAGATTTGAGAACATTATTGAAAATATTGGAAAAACGTGATGTTCTTAGTTATAATAATGTGGATCCCCTTTTGTATATTTCAATTCATTTTCTAAATGATCTACAAATAGAGAGCAAACTAAGAGATTATAAATTATATCTTCAAAAAATACAATACCCTTTATCTTATAATATGTATCAAGAATCAAATGGTAAGTTTATTTTAATATATATTATTCATTTTTATTATATTTATGTAAAATGCAATATTGTTTTATTCATTATTTATACCATACTTTTTAATTTTTCATTTTAATAATGCTTTTAATTATGTTATACTGATTTTAAAAATAACTTTTTTATATCTTTTAATAGAAAATAAAAATGAAAAATCAAAATTATCAAATATTACTGAAAGTAGTACATCACAAATAAAAGTATCTAATAAAATAGAAAATCAACCAATATCAAAATATAAAGGATTTAAAAATAATTTTTCATCAAAAGAAGCTAAACTACAACAAACGGGTAAAAATAAATTTATCTCTTTTACTATATAATATTATTTATCAGTGAAATTAATATGCAAGAAATGGTATTTTTTAAGTATTATCATGCATAAGTGAAAGAATTGGTCGTTCTTGGAGAGATACTGTCAGATATTTAGGTGTACCTGAATATGAAATTGATATGATTCAAACCAAACATACTTTTAATTTAAAAGAACAAAGTTATGAGGTAAGATACAATTGATATAACTTTATTTTCACATAAAATTTTGTACATAAAGATAACATAAATAATTTTTAGGCATTGAAATTATACATGATTCAATATAGTGACAATAATTGGAAAGTAAATTTAATTCGTGCTTTAGAGAAAGCAAGACGTAGAGACTTGAAGGAACTTCTTGAAAATTTAATATTAGAATCAAATTGTTAATAATTTTAGGGAAATCAAAAATAAAATAAAAATAACATGCACAAAGAATAACTTATGTTTTTGATATATTTATAAGAAAAACTTAAACATAATTATTTTCCAAATAATTATGAAAACATTATTAAATATTATTATGCTATCTTAAAGTGAAATAGGTTGCTGTATTTTGTTATTAATTTATCACTTGAAAATGATAACCTATTTTATAGGTTTTTAAAATAAGCTTATTACAGCAGTTTTTGTTGCTCATATGAGTAATATTGAAAGGGATGTACATAAAAAAATTGCTCAAATGTTAAAATAATAATTGTAATGGATGTATGCAATTTTTTCAAAAATACAGCAGTCTGTATCTAACTTTTATAATTTATTTTTAAATTACATATTACCCTGATATAAATTTTTATATCAATGGTATTACATCTATTTCAGTACACTCTATTATCTTTTATTTTTACTGAGAAAATATTTAATTGTAATAAAAATGTAATTTTTAAAAATTTTTCATTATAATTTTGTTTAATTTAATTTAATAATTTGAATTTTTGTGTACTATCCACATTAATAATGTATATGTAATATTATTTAAGAAGATTTTAATGAACAGCGATAATAATATAATATCAAAAGAGTTTAAACAATATAGGCATTTTTTGTTTGACTTCCTATTTTGTCCATGAGATCTTTATGTGCTTGATAGCCTATAATAATTTTTGGTGTAATTTTTAATCTTTCTCTTAATTTTCGTCTGCAAAAAAGTTACATAGTTAAATTTTGTATTAATAAATTTTTGTATACAATTATATGTTATCATTTACCCAATTTCCATAACACTATCTTCACTATTAGCATCTGTAGTCCATACACCAATTTTATCTCCTTTTGTCCTGACATTTACTACAGCTCCACAAATATCATCTGAATATCCATTGAATGCCTCGCCAATCATACATAAAAGAGTTTCTAACCAAAAGTGATCTAAATCTGTATTTCTTTGTTTTTTATCTATGTTTATAAGCCATCTTCCACCACATTTGTTAGCATCATCTTCCCACATGGGTCTAATTCCCTCTTTGAACATGCTATAGTCACAACCTTGTCTTAATTCTGATGCTGCCTTTATGTGGCTGTATAAACTGTTATTAAAATAGATATTATTAATGAGAAAAAAGTAGCAAAAATAAATAATCAAATACTATTAAATTCTGAGGTCCAACCAAAGTTACCTCCAGAAATCTTCAGCTGTATCAAAGCTTGTAATTTTTCTTTGACTATCTTCCCATAATTTATTTTTATCTGGTTCATAATACCAAAGAGTCCATGTATGTTGAAGTGGATGTTTAATTAAAACTTCTGGTGGAAATTCATCAAAATTCACTACTTCTTGCTCCTTCCTTTCAATTTCCTGCAATTGATTACATTCACAATTTTAAATCTAACTTTCTTAACCCTAATGAATCACCTATAAATGGTTTACTTTCTAATACTTTTTATGGATTTTATTCGACTTATATATTTTAAATTTCACGAGTAAATTTTATGCTGTATATATATTATTATTAAAATTATTTTAATATTTACTGTCAAAAATATTTTAATGTTTAATATCAAAAGTATTTCAATACTAGGAATGTTCTAATATTTGATATTAAAATTATTTTAATATTAGTAATATAATATATCATTTTTTAAGCTCATTAGACAGCTTTTACCATACTTAGGGACAGATGGGAGGGGTAAGAAGCATTGTAATGATCATCATGCTCTTTTAAAAAGTTATTTAAATCTTCTACTAATATTTGGATGATAAAGACATTTTAAAGAAGTATTGTACTATTTTTATAATATACACGATATTGAGAAAATGTTAGTGAAAGGTACCTCAATTTCTTCTGTATTACTCGTAGCCATGTCACACAAACTATACGTACAATATGCTCGCTTAGTGAACTAATAGCAAGGGCATCTGCCGGCAAAATTTTTATACAAAATTTTCTTTCCCCAAGATAGAAACATGTAATTGCGTCGGCGTACCGGGAGAAATTGACGCAATAAAATTTAAGCTAGATAAATTAGTAAAGAATAAAATGATCGTTAGTTTAATTATATTATTATGTTACTAAAGAAAAAAAAAAGAACAACCTAGAAATGCAGTTCTATATTTAATTCTTTTTACGATTTTCTTTTGTTAGTGTACATAACATCATTTTATTCAATATAATGGCATTAATTACTTTTGTTTCTGGCTTTTTTCTGTTAATTATGCAATTGTTTCCTTTGATATTTTAAACTTTGTTTTGTTGACAGATACTCAGAAAATATGATAAAAATATATCTTTTATAGATTTATAATTTGTTTAATCATTTTTACTACAATATCTTTACTTATACTCTTTTTACAGTATTAAGTAATAAATACAAATACAGTATTTATATAGATTATTTATGAAATAATATTTATTTTTTTAAATATCTATATATATATATATATATGTATAACAAAAATGATTATAATAGATAATATTAATAATTATAGAAGTAATAAAAATAATATAACTTAACATTAATTTTTCTCTTCACTCAGTATAATAAATTTGAAATAAGGGTTGGTATTCCTGTGATACATTTTAAAGTAGCTTGTCTGGTGGCCCTCGTTGCATCGTACAATGTATTTACATTATAATTTAGAAAACGTAATTTTTCTCTAAAGATTATCAACTATTTTATCTTCATTATGAAACGTTCGGTAAAGATATACTTTTCTATTTCCCATAATTTTACAGTAATTATAACAATAATTTGTAAGTATTTCTTTAATGGTAATTTTAAGGAAGGTTAGTTTGACAGCGGTCGTATAGAGTATTTTTGTATATTTAACAAACCGGTTTGATTTGTTAGTATTGACAAAATTAAATTAATAATATTCAATTATAAATTTCGTGTGACAATAAAGTTTTTATATATTTTCCCATTTTTAATTCACAGTTGTTCATTTTTCAGATAACCGAAGAAAATGGGGAAACAAAGCGATCTTTTGTTAAGCAAGAGTGTATCAATTTTGGATACGAAGGTTCCTATCCTACTTATACATCATCCTCTTCATCCACTTCAACTGTCACACAACCATTACCAGGACAACCACCATTACCTCCTATGCCTCCTCCTTCCAGTGGTATTCCACCACCTCCTCATGTATTTGGACCAGTGCCTTCACAAGTTACACCAATACAAGCATGGACACATCCTCCTGCACCATGGCAATGGATAACACCTCAAACATCTCCTTTGCCTCCTCCACCTCCACGTGATATGACTACAAGTTCATTTCAAAGAGAAATGCCTCTCAGAGGCAACTACATGAGACGAGAAAGGTTTGCACATAATAAAAGTAATATATATGTTCAAAGAAATAACTTTCATCGTAAAAATAGAAGACTTGCACGATTTGGACAAACTCAGGGTCAGTTTGATCAAGCAGCATATTTTGGTGCAACATTGAGTAATAGTCTTGGTTTAGAATGGCAAAGAAATAATTACACTACATCTACAGGTGATACAATTATGAATCATATGCCTGTTCCTCTTCCTAATCATCCTTTACCTCCTATACCTCCAGGGATTTTAACAAATAGGCATGGAGAAGAAACTTCAGATCAGGAAGTTAAAATTGTTTTGGTAAGATACAATAAAATGAGTAACAAATATAATTTTATTTAATTATTAATTATTTATTTTAGGAGGAAGTTGTAGTAAAAAAAAATAAACAAAGAAAACCAATGTCCCAAAGTTATCCTAGTCGACCATGGAATAGAGAAGATGCAGAAAGAGCTTTGAAAATTGAGAATGAGTACAACAAAACAGTCAAAGCTCAAAGTTTAATAATTAAATTCCCAGATCCTGATCTAAATAAGGATATTGTTAGAGAATTTCATCCTGGTATACAAAATATTCATTTTCAAAGTCCTAGTGGTCCTAGATACTGTTTTATACAGATGGCAGAAAGTGTCGATATTGATGAAGCCATAAAAGAATTAGAAAAGATACCCTTTGGGGTGGGTCATTTAAAAGTTGAAAGAAAATCTCTAAGGGATGAAGATAATCCAATGCCTGAGGAAATAGATCCTTATACATTATACATAGGAAATTTACCAGAATCTGTTAATGTTAATGAAGTAAAAAGTAAGTTTCCAACAGCTGCTCGAGTAGATGTAGGATATGCACAGAAAATGAGAAATACTCGGTGAGTTAGTTATTTTATAAAATGTGTAAGATTAAGGTAACATATATTTCTATATGTTATATTTACCTCGTTCCATAGATATGCTTTTATAAGGTATAATAGTGTAGATGAATCTATATCTGCTTATAAACAAGCACATGATCTAATGTGGGATACCAGAAGTATTATTGTTAGGTTTAGAAGACAACGTGGTAATACTTGTCTTCCTGGTGAACCTAAACCTAATGTTAAAAAGGTTAAAGAAGAACCAAATAGTAATTCACAAATAAAAAAGGAACAGAAAGTTAATCATACTGAAAAAAATGTAACAAAATTAGAAACTGATATAGAAAATAGGATACAAGATAATTCTAATAAAGTGCAAAATAAAACATCAGCTCAAGTCCAAGAACAAAATGCAAATTTGCAATCATCTTCTTCTACACCAACTTCAATTGCATCAGCTAAGTCAGTACAACAACAGCAACAGCAACCATGGGTATATATACGCATATAAATATTCTACATTGTAGGAATGTTTTAGTATGTTCACATTTAGATAAAAAATTGAGACTGTCTAGTGAAGCTATATTTGTTTGTTGATAATAGGCCATAATATAATGTGTGTGTCATTAGATACATAGTACAAAATTCCTATGATGAATAGGAATAGGTTTTGTCATTAGTTGTAAATGTATTAAACAAGAGAAAAAAGGAAAAAAGAAAAAGAGTGAAGATTAAAAATTAACTTATTTTTAGACTGGTCAGTCACCTCAAATACCTTCAGCATCTGAAGCTCCTCCACCTTGTTCAACTGAAAGAGAATCTGTTGCGGAAACAATAATGCTTACAGAAATTAAGGAAGAGCCAGAAGACTATGAAGAAATAGAAATGTCATGTAATATTCGGTCTGATGATGACATAGATGATGATGTAGATGATGATGACGACGATGATGATGAAGAAGAAGAAGACGATTCAGATGATAATGATGAAGATAATGAAGAAGATTATGAAGATGATGAGGAAGATATAAATGAAAGTGGACATTTATCATTAAGTAACAAACAAGAATCAATTGCAGAAGATAACGAACCATCCGATGTACGTAAAACATTTAATTACTATATTACTGTTGGAATTGATAATATATAATACAGTTACAATATACATTAAAACTAAATTAAATTTATGAATACAATTAATTTTTAATAATTTTTGTTTCAGCATCTTGATCAAATGTTTAGTGAGTTAGAAAACATGGCTGGTGACATTAGTTTTTAATATATTTAATTAGCTAAACTCTCATATTGATTAATATTTGATTTTTAAGAAAATTGATGTCACACACAATATGTAAATAATTCTAGATCAAAAATGAGATGAGTGTAACGAGTGAGACTGCATTTATTTAAGTATAATGTTAGTAGTTGAGTCATATTTAAATACTTTTATACTAATATGTTTTTACCTTATAAATTTCTACGCTTAAATATGCTCACAAAATTTTTTATGTAAACAATTGTGGATATGATTAAAATTATTTTCTGTATTTTTGGTTAGAGCTTTTTTTAGACACATTTAATGTCTCTATATTCTCAATAATTATATGTGTTTCGTAATTCTCAACAATTACTTAGTATGAATATTAACATTTATTTATATTTATTTCCTGACTAAACTTTTTATATTTTTATTAATTTTTCTTTTTCTTTCTAAACATTTCATATTAAAAACCAATATCTATTACATAAAGTACTGATTTTCTTTTTTTTAAATAATTTGTATTTCAATTTATATACTTATGACTCATATTTTCAAATTAAATTTTTAATATATTCTATGAATAAATAAGAGGAAAAATGTCTTTTTTATGTAAAATAAACAAATTACAATTTATACTATAGTAAAAGTATTTTACCAAATTTTAAGCAAGATGGAACAATTTTGAAACAAAATTTTGTTAGAGAACCGTGAAATTTAAAAATTACATATATTTCCTGTATGCGCAAGTGCCACCTACTTCCTGACAGATCGGCGTTAAGAAAGCGCGGGTATCGTTACAGGTGTAGTGTTTCTTTTAAGTACTGGTATTTGTTACACTCATCAGTTGTGTAAAGTAAGAGTCGAAAAAAGTAGGATTACAAAATGTTCGAAGCACGTTTGGTACAGAGTGCTATTTTGAAGAAGGTGTTAGATGCAATAAAAGATCTTCTAACCGAAGCCACCTTCGAATGTTCCGATTCAGGTATCCAAGTACAAGCTATGGATAATGCTCATGTTTCTTTGGTTTCTCTTAATCTTAGAAGCGATGGCTTTGATAAATATAGATGCGATAGGAATTTATCAATGGGCATGAGTATTGCATGGTAAGATGGTACTTTCAATGTAATATTTATTAAGGTTATGTCTTTTTTTCATAATAGAATAAAGAACAGATACCTTTAAATAAGAAAGTATTTGTAATTTCTACCTTTTAATTGGAACAAAGAGTTTTATATTTTTTTGTATATAAATAACAAGATAAAGATATATCGATTTTAAATAACAAATGAGAATTAATGAACTGTTTTTAGCATGTCCAAAATTCTACGATGTGCTGGTTCAGAAGACACAGTGACATTGCGAGCATTGGACAATCCAGAAAACATTATATTTATATTCGAATCACCAAATAAAGAAAAACTTGCAGAATATGAAATGAAACTTATAAATATGGATCAGGAACATCTTGGTATTCCTGTAAGATTCTATATACATTATTATACATAGAACCATTTGTTTTAAATAACATATAATTATAGAATTCCTTAATTATCACAGGAAACTGCATATTCATGTGTTGTAAAAATGCCTTCTCAAGAATTTTCACGTGTCTGTAGAGATTTGAGTCAGTTTGGAGAATCAATAACATTTGCATGCTCTAAGGAGGGTATAAAATTTAGTGCTTCTGGAGATTATGGACAAGGTATACCAATTTCATTTATGTATTGAAAAGAAAATGACAAGAAGTACTATATTGGCATATTTTAATATGTTTAATTATCATACTTACATTAGTTATATAATATTTGTTGTATCCTGATAACATCTTGTAGTCAACTCTTCAAGCACAAAAGTTACATAGCAACTGTTTGAAATTAAGTAATGTCTTAGAAGATATTTATTTATTTGACCTTCACTGCTATAAAGAATAGGTCATACATGTGTTCATATATGGCTGTTTGTATTTACATATTTGAAGGAAATATTTCATTCTACAGTAAAATTCATTAAACTACAAATGAATTATGAAAAGTGTATATTCCAATATGTAAAAATATATCAATATAATTAATATTGTTATAAATTATGATTACACATATGTTAACTATTTTTTTCAGCTACTGTCAAGTTAGCACAAACAGCAGATGCAGATAATGAAGAAGAAGCAGTAATTGTTAATATGCAAGAACCAGTAAAGTTAACATTTTCGTGTCGTTATCTCAATTGTTTTATAAAGGCTGGGCCACTTTGTGCACAAGTACAATTATCAATGTCTAATGATGTGCCCCTAGTATGTGAATACAAAATTGGAGATATTGGGCATATCAGATATTATTTGGCACCAAAAATTGATGATGATGAAGAAAATTAAGATTTCTGAACACTTTCTTTAGTTTATAAATCATAACATCATCAATATATGTATTATCAATAATGTATTATAGCATTGCTTAATTTTATGTACTTCAGTTTTTTTTTACTATTGTATTTATCACATTATTAGAGATGAAATATTTTCAAGATTTTACGCAAAACAGAATGATATTACTTAAAGAAAAATATATTTTGATATTCATTATTGAGGAATGATTAAGGATAATTAAAAATTCTTTGAAGGTAATATATTTAAATTTTACATTTATAAGTCATTTGGCTCGTCACAGTGTTAGCGCAACGTGGAATTGACACTAAGATTCATAATAGAGTGACACAATCATGATTAACATGGTAATGTAGTGTCATTCTTATAAGATTCATATTGTTACCGTTTCATAAACTGTGACAATATTTTGATAATATTGCATTTTTTATATGTAAGAAGAACTCAATATATTTCCAAAACATTTGATAAATTTTGAATTATGTGTTATTTCTTATACCCTAGCCTAATTGAAGTTCAAATTTTTCACTTATTTTTAATTATCTTATTTCTTATACCGTTTGTGTATAAGCTAGTTTAATATAAAAATACATAATTAACTTACGAGCTGAGGGAATAAGTGGGCTACCATGGATGGAATAGCCTAGAAGTATACAATTAAATCTTACATAATTTGGATCTCATATAGTTACTAATTAATTATATATTAATCAATAGATGTTGATTTATACTATGAATTATTTTACACGCACATACTGCGAAGACCTGTATATCGTTAATTCTTACTCTTATGTGTTTAAACGAAATTTTTAAACAAAATAAATAATTTCCGCATCCTGTTCTATGTTCAAACAATTAATTTAATTAGCAACAAAACAAGACACTTTGGCAATAGTAATCAGCCTCTTTGGTTTTAAAGCCCTGGTATTGCTTTGTATTTTTAACAGAATACCTTTACACTTAAAACTAAAATAATTATTTATACATATAATAAAATGATCGATACGATAATATATATAATTATTGAATTTAATGCGAAAGAAGAATACTGAAGTTATCCATGTAAAATTTAATAAAATTATTAAGCTGTTAATACTTCCTCATTTCCAAAGGAGATGTCACACTCATCGATAACATTTAATTATTTGGACCAATTAATGTACTTATGCGGGATTATCAATGCATATACCGTTTTTTCAGTCTATAAATATAATTTTAAAAGGTATAAGATGCAGCGTGACATTTACCTTGCAAATGAAGTACCAACAACAAAAAGAACATATACAATTAAAAAATTATATAAGGGCTTAAGCATTCGTATTGCCATTACTCCCATACAAACTGGGATGTACATATTTGTCATGCAATGTCCTTAAATGCCTCAGCAAATTACTTTTTACGTTAAAGCCTTTTTTACAATAGGAACAAAGAAAAGGCTTCTCCCCTGTATGTGTTCTTTGATGAATTACCATTGATGCATGGCTTGGAAATTCTTTTTGACAAATGTTGCACAATTTTTGATGACTGTGAACCCTTTTTGGCTTAGGAGGCGCCGAGTTATTCATTAAAGCTAATTGCTCTTCTGTATGTTCCGTCTGTATATGACGTACCCATTCTTGAGGCGTTGAATACATATTACCACAGAGATCACATTTTAAAGGTGGAAAATCTTTGCTATCATCATCCACATCACCCTATAAAAAACACATAATGTTGATATTACTTATCATTCAAAATGGTAACCGATATTTCAATATTCTTACCTTCCTTTTTTTCCGTCGATTTTCAGTCATATCAGCGTGTGTAAATTCAATGTGTCTTACCCAATCTGATGGCCGATTAAATGTTTGACTGCACATATCACACGTTAATGGGCTATATTCTTCTTCTTCGTCCGCACTATGTACGATTTCCTGCAATGATCGAAATTTTACCATATATATTATGTATTATATAGAAATGCATATACTATGTAATATATACTATATAATTATAACACATGCTTTTTATCAAAGAAAATGTTTTTAAAATACCACACACCGGTTTTATATCAATCTCATGGTCTATCGTTAATGACTCCGATGGATCGATAGTTTCCTCCCAGATTGGTTCATCTTTTACTAAAAGTTCCAGATTCAATTCGGTCTAAAACAAATGATAAAATAAACATATTTTATTCCATTTAATGAGTTATATTACATAAAATCATCTTACATTTTCACCATCTTCGCTTTTAGATTTATTAGATTCCACATCGCTGTTTGTTGTTTTTTTTTTCTTTCCATTGGTTTCTACATTTTCTTTATTTTTATTTTGTTCGTTATTTTTATTTTCCTCTAATACCTTTTTAGATTCTGGTTCACTAATTTTCTCCTCGATTTTCTCAATACTCTTTCTCTCTGAGGTAGGTTTCTGAGGTTGAACGTTATTTTGCACAGGTGTACTCTGTTGCGCATTTTCGACAATTTTTTCTGTACTGGGTTGTACCAATTTAATCTTTTGAATTTGTCCAGTTAAAGGTGGCTGCTCTCGTTTTTCTCGATCTACTTTTTGGTTATTCGATTGTATATTCTCCTTTTTACTTCCACTATTAGATCTCCATAAACCGCGTACACGCAATATATCACCCGCTTTTAAAACACCCTCTAACTGATCATTTGTTACCGTAGCTTCACCGCTGTACATGTATTGAATCAAAATTTTTAATGTGCGATATCCAATTTCTGTTGGTAATACCTGCAACATGTTATGATATTAACTTATTTCATATAGTTTGAAGCCAATTTGTTCATTAACAAAAGACAATGATAGACTAACGAAAAATATACAAACCACAATTATTGGAGCATTTGTATTCGCACCAAAATGGCATGTTTGAAAAATATGACTGAGATACGACGAGCAGGCAGCAAGGACAAATCGATGAGCGGCCACGTGCCGGCCACAGGACGTTGCTAACAATACATCTGCGAAGGATTCTGAGTGGAGTAATGTCGCGACAGAGCTGTGCAGATGCGCGCCATAGCTATGCCATTTAAGTTGATAATTCTCCGAAGCAGCGATGGCCATTTTTTCTGTATCGTTGACAAACAGAAAAAAAAGCGTTTCGTTACAGTCTTTGCTAGGGGATAATATCTGTGTATTAATACATATATGCCATTGTATTTGTTAAGCCTGTTGCGTCGACTGCGTTTCGTTTACTTTCCGATAATTTTTGTATCGCAGTCCAACAAAAGAATTTTGTAAAATAATACGCAATATAAATTTGATACGTACGTGGAAATACAAAAAATTATGACCTAATATATCTAGCTTTAACGATTTCAATTTGCAAAAATATTATATATAAAAATTAACAAATATATTAATGTCCTCCTAATATTTATTCACGTTTGAACAATAAATATATAATCAATTTACCATGTTCAGATTCCATTATATTTAAATCGTTTTTAAATATATTATATTTCAGTGTTATAACGCATGATAATTATTGAAGACACTCATATGCGAATTTCTTCTCTTTTGGATGAATTCAGATCGTGATGTGAAATATTTTTTAATGCATTTGTTTCTGTTTCCAAAATTACGCAAGAAATCATAAAAAATTCTGTCCATTAAATGCAACTTGGTAGAATTTCAATGTAATGTTAACCGGATTCGAATGTGACACTAATGGTAATAAAATAATTACGCACTCTCTTCGGCACCCCACATTCACACCCTTATTTGAATCCCCGTTAACGTTCATGCAACGATCGTGCACGTTGTATACAATCTTTGGAAAAAAAATCTTACGCGGAACGAAACATCGTTGATGCAGTCCAAAAGCAATGATCTTAGATCGTCTGCGTAACAAAGATCATTAATTGTTCAACGTGTAAACGGTTGTATGATATTGTCGCTCGTTGCACGAACGTCAAGGCAAAGAGAATAAAAATCTCGGCTGTGAAGCGTTTCACAGCGCGTCGTTAGGCTGTCAACGTGGTTACCTGACGACATCGGGCAGAACTTCGCTACGCGTCACTCGGCTTCACCACTCTCTCGTTTCTTATTTTAATTGTACACGATAATCTTCAAGATCTGCGGCACTACACAGTGTGTCTCGCACGCGTCGTTGGTGTTTTGAAAGGCGCTTCGCGCGGATACGGGACACGGGGCAGATATGAGCATCGAACCGCCGCGTAGGGGCCTAAAAATCGATATTTCGGTCTTTGCTCCATCCTCTCCGGCGGTGCAGCCGTGCTCGCTTTCGCGGCTAGGTAGGGTGCCCCCCTGTTCATCATCGATTTTCCTGGCTACCAATCGCACGCATCCATTTATCGCATCGATCGCCCGAGCTGATTTCAGCGTTTGCGTCCGTCCGTCCATCCGCCCGCTCCGCGATTCATACCCGTGCACCCCACCGCACCCGACCCCTTTCCCCACACCCTGCTCTATAACCCGTACTCTGTTCAACCTCCCACCCCGAAACCACCTTGCCAGCTACTACCTTAAGCAGTATAGACGCGACTAAACGCGACCCTTCACGATCCTTTTCGTCAGCGACGCCGGACACCACGATATTCCTTGGCTTGCTTCATCCACGACGCCCCATCGTTGATTCCATTGCCTGTTGATATCTCTTTATCCTTCACGACGCTTCTTATATTCGATTAATATTCATATGCCTGTTGCAAATAAAAATATACTGATTGCTAAATACATAGATAAGGTCAAAAAAATTTCTTGGCGCTCTTACCGATGCGTTGTATGAGTATATTGATTTTTTAAAATCTGCGTAACGATTTTACGACACAATGATGAAGCTTTAAAGTTTGGTTGAAATACTGCCGTACAGCATGCATGCAATTTTTGTTATATCTTAATTCGTTGAATGTAAAAATATATCTTCATTTATGAAGATGATTTCTTTTTCTATAAAAAGTTTAAATTTGAATAAAGCTTTTGTTCCAAAGCAATAATAAAAGAGAAATACGTTATCAAATGAAACATGCTTACCTATCATACTTTATGTTATTATACTGTTCAATAAATGATATTTCCTTTAATACACAAGTTAATATTATATATTGTAATGATATAAATACAAGTAAATGAAATACAGCAATGTTGGCTCAAATTTCTTCGAAAATAATTCATTAACTTGTAATGTTTGATCTATAGATCTATAGACAATATTACAGGGTTAGTTTATAGATGCAGTAAAATTTTAGGATCGCTGCTGCTCTGTTCCTAAACATACCCGAAGATGGCGTTCATAGTGGGATTCTTCGATTTTCAAGATTTCGTTTCAATGTATGCGTGCATATGTGTGACGATGTACTGCATTGCGTCGACGACCCATTTTGCAATAGGAACGATAAGTTGCACACCCTCCTACAGTTAAATAATCAATTCCATGGTTCGAAGTATTCGAACTACATTTCTCTTTGTGTAGAATGAACAATTTACGTGATCATTGATATTTCTTCTATGTATGTCCATTTCCATTGAAAATTCGTATTGTTATAAAAAGAAATAACTTGTTTTCTAATATTTCTCAAACATTTTAATTTTTATGCAACTATTATTAATAATACGTAGAGTACTTAAAGACACAATATGATTTTTATATGTTCTTATTTATTTAAAATTATGATTTACTTTCATTATCGATTTTTCAATGAAAGTATTTGTACTTGAAATCGAAATCGGTTTATGATAGGGTCACGTGGCAACAAGATCACGTGGCGCTTCTACATACTCCGTTAGAGGGAAGCACAGATAATCTCGAGCAAACACGACGACCAACAATCCTTTCCCGTAAATACATACGTTATTGTCATCGAACTAAGGTCGATTGACTAAAACGATGCAACGGCTTCTCAAAACGTAATGTACGTCGCGGCTTTGAAGGCTATATTGAGAGTGCATAAGTGTTGTTTGTATGTCACACAGAAGTGACCTAGTTTACAAATGAATTTTCGTTTCTGATTTTCTTTAGCTATGACCCTACAGTGAGTGTTGAAGTCGGTGGCCTCCGTGAGACAGTAGCGATGCTGCCTCGAAAGTGAGTTCATGGCTGATCGTAGAATGTAGAAGAAAGCAAATGATTTCGTTTAATTCACTCAGAATGCAGATTTTTATGAAATATGAGTGTCATCGCGTTTTTAGCGAACGAGACAATTAGGTTACGTTGACAAAAGGATCACAGTTCTTTGCGAGAATTGAACAACATAAGAGCTATTTGTAAACCTATGGTAGGTTGATCTTTTATTCCTATGGAGTAAAAATGTTTGTAAAAGTGTATCTAATGAATGTTTTAAATTTAAATATCTGCAAACAATTTTTGGTTTAGATAAAATTAAAAAGTAAATATGAATCAATTCAATTATTCATAAAATGTGTTGCAGTTCATTGAAAAAGAGCAGTAGGCCAAGATGAAATATGATTGTTCGAGCTTTCATATGGTGACATTAAATAACCATTACATAGTTCTAATGAATTGTCTCTTACAAATTGGGCATTACATACTTGTACATATGAGCAGTGTATAAGCAGTCTGCTTACATTCACAAAATGCCACATATAACACGAAAATGGGAACTTTTCCCAGGTAGAAATCGATTTTGCTGTGATGGTAGAGTAATGATGGCACCACAAACTGGGGTGTTTTATGTGACCGTGTGCCTCATTGCTGGAACAAGTGGATTATTTTTTGCTTTTGAGTAAGATTATTATGTTTAAGAAGAAATTATACATATATATTATATATATAAAAGATTTAGTTTTAACAGTTTTATGTATTTTTTTTAGTTGTCCATTTTTAGCAGTACATATAACACCTGCTATACCAGTTATTGGTGGTTTGCTATTTATTTTTGTAATGTCTGCTTTGTTCAGAACAAGTTTTAGCGATCCTGGAGTTATTCCAAGAGCAACACTTGATGAAGCTGCCTATATTGAAAAAGAAATTGGTACATAAAGATATATCTTTTAGAAATAAGTATAATGTTATGATACACTATATCTTAATATATAAAATTAATACAAAAATTATATTTAATCTAGTTAATTAATCTTATTGCAATTTGAAAATTTGTTTTTTCATATGTTGGATAAAGAGGTACCAAACAATGGTAATTCAAAAATGTATAGACCTCCACCTCGAACAAAAGAGGTATTAGTTAAAGGGCAGCCAGTAAAATTAAAATATTGTTTCACTTGTAAAATATTTAGACCGCCAAGAGCTTCACATTGTAGCTTATGTGACAATTGTGTAGGTATGTAAAGTATCTCAATAATATTATAAAATTTGCCTTTATTAAAATCTAAAAAAAATGTAATTTTTTTTTAGAGAGGTTTGATCATCATTGCCCATGGGTAGGAAATTGTGTTGGCAGAAGGAATTATAGATACTTTTATGCTTTTATTGTGTCCTTGGCATTTCTTTGTGTTTTTATAATTGCATGTGCTGTTACGCATTTAATAATGCGTAAGTATATTAATTAAGATAAATGAAAGATAGAAAAATTAGATTAAAATTGTTTTAACTTTTATTTATTTAAATTATAGTTACAAGAGATGATAGACCATTTTTAGAAGCAGTAAGAATATCTCCTGGAAGTGTTGTGGTAGCAGTTATATGTTTTTTCTCTGTTTGGAGTATTCTTGGTCTTGCTGGCTTTCACACATATTTAACTACTAGTAATCAGACAACTAATGAAGATGTAAGAAATTAAAGTTTTAATAATTATGCCTATACTGATATGATCAAACAGTTTTAAAATAATTTGAATTATCTTTATAGATTAAGGGATCATTTTCCATTAAAACAGGCCAAGAGAGTTTTAATCTGTATAGTCAAGGAAATATATGTGGAAATTGTTTTTATGTATTGTGTGGACCAGCACCACCTAGTTTAATTGGTAATCTATTTTGTTCTTAGTATTTTTATTTGAATTTTTATAAATGTTATTCTACTATAACAATTTTTATAGATCGAAGAGGTATAGTTACGCCCGAATATCGTGCAGAACAGGAAAGAGTTGGCGGTGACAGCGTAATTACTAATAATAAAACCTATGGTACTGTGAAAATTGTGCAACCACAGGTATTAAAATATTTATTATTTTTTTCTTATTTTATTTACAGTATTATTTATATACAATCTTTTTTCATGCAGTCTAATGGTACAACCGTTCAAACAAATCCTAGCCCAGACCTCACAGGTTCTATGAACAATCTCGTTTCTGGTCAACATTCGCCACAAATAGAATCTATAAACGGTGAGTTAAGTCTTTTAAGGCACACTGCTCGTTATCCTGAGGATTTTCCAAAGTATCCGCGTCAGTATATTAATGATATTTATGCTTCGGCATATCGCCGACAATATTGTTTTCAGGAATCTATAAAACATGTAAAATATGATACAGAAATAGGAAATCCAGATTTTCAAAAATATCCATGTAGGTGTGAGGAGAATTTACATAAATATTCTCATAGGTGTAAAGAAGAGTATCATAGATGTTCGGATAACAATTTAATATATGATCAGTGTGTCGTTGATCAAAAATATGGTATTGATCTTCAAAAATATCCGCAAAGATATTCTGAGGATCCTATACGATATAAAATTGATGATAAAACTGGTTATACAGATCTTCAAAAATTTCCACAATGCTATTCCGAAGATCCATTACGAATTTCTCAGTCTCAACATACTCTTAAATATAATAATTTGAGATGCACTGTTCATGGTTTAAAATATCCAATATCAAAGAATCTTTTGCCAACTGTCGTAATGTCACGAATATTAGGAGCAGGAGGAATGCCAATTATTGGTCAAAATGCAATAGGACTTGCAGTTAATAGATTTGGTTCTGGACCTTTGACTAATGCTTTCTCTTACGCGGAAAATTCTTTATGTCCAAGTGATAGTACTGAAGAAGATCTTTTAAATCGAAGATTTATTATGAGTTCAATAAGTGATAATGATGATATTTAATGTTCTTTCTTTATAATAATTTTTGTCTTTTTTCCCTAAATAATATTATCTCATCTATTGAAAGAGAATCTAAACGGCTATAATATATTCGTTAGGATTTTTTTAGCGTGTTAGAATCAAAATAATGTTTTAATATTCTATCTTTGTATTATTAGCAGGAGCTTATAATATAAATAAATTTTTAATATGTATATAAATATTAGCCAAGGTAATAACATACAAAATTGTATTAATGATATTAACAAAGAAATCATTATTATGATGATTGTTCATGTTTCCTTATACTATAGCTGATATAGGTATTTATGGATAAAAAACATTCAAGTTGAATTTGATTGTTATTAACAGAGATTTATTTATTTTTCGACTGTTCAATTTGGTATTGAACACATAGATATTTTTTTTAAGAAAAATGAGGAAGAAATTAATATTCTTGTTATGATATTATATATCCTGACTGAGAAAAGGACTGAAACATTAGTTTCATTACGACATTTAATATTTTATAATAATCAATTTTCCAAAACTATGAGAATAATTATTTCTACATTATATAATATAATGGAAATAAATAGAACATGTTATATTTAATTCAACGTGTCATTTTACAATCTTGATCTTCAAAATTAAAGAAAAAGTTGGTCTGACATAGATCTGAACCATCATCAAGTCTATAAGATAAATTTAAGTTTTTACCGTTTAGTCATAATGTTACACGATTCAATAAATTGTATTTCTTTATTGTTTGAAAATTACGTCCTGTTATCGAGGGCTCTGAGCATACTCTTTGGTAAGTTAATTTTCTTTTATTCCATCCGTCATTGTGTGTATGTTTAATATGAATGAATTGATATTTATTAATAGCTGTTAATAAACACTTTAAACACAATATTTACCCTCCACATTTTTGAAAACTAATTTCAAAATGTTATATCAATTCAAGGGTTTATGGATTGTGACTAATGAATTAGTTTTTATTATGGGCACTGGGAAAATACAATATGTACATAAATATATGTATAATTATACATGTACAAATAAGTACGCACTCAATTTCATGTGTAAGGGATATTTTATAAATTTGTGCTTGTATATGTGATATCAAAATTGTTATATATTAGACAACAATGATCATGTAAGTTATTTATTACTATGATTTCTAGTTTTAATCAAATATATATACACATAGAAAACACCTCAATGTGACACATATCTGGGATATTTTCTTTATTGCAGTTTACTTTTAATTTATTTTATTTATCTATGCAACAAAATTACACAGTCAATACTGCACTTTTGCAATGAGTTGCATTATATAATTTTGGTTGCTAATGAGCGTTTGTAATGGCTTATCATTGAATTTTAATGCCAATTATTAAAATTCTAATTTTTTTTTTACACAGTATATGAAAATGTATATATGTTTAATAATTTTGTACATTTCATTACTATTGAATATTTATTTTTAGGTAGTACTACAAACAGCGTGAGTCAACTTGTTACCAATGAAGTACCACTAGCATCACTTAATATAGCTCCAATTGATATCGATGAAATTGCTCCGCTGCCTTCCCGTCAGAGTGTCGTGGTTTCATCCACATTGGATACGTCCTCTATACCTTCGGTAACTGTAACAACACCTTTGTCTGCATCTAGACTTAGATTGTTACAAGACACTACCATGATAGAGTCTGCTTTAGACTTAGATTCGTTGGAAGATGCAAGCGTTGGTAGAGGCAGTCAAGCAGGACTTATAAAAATGGGAGCAGTTTAAATAACTAAATCTATTTTATCTAGTTAGATTTTATCTAGTTAGATTATAGATTAAGTTTTTATCTAGATAGATTATAGACTTTTAAAGCCATCGACGTTTACCAAAGAATAGTGCAGGTCGAACCTTTATTTCTTTCCTATTATACTCGTATGTACTTTTTTAAAATGTAATGGTTATTACATACAGTGTAGACTTACAGTGTAGACACACAAAATCTGTGTACGAGTAAAGGAATGAAATTATTATTTACTTTGTGATGAAATTACTTAAATTTTAATTAATTTAATAAAGGGTTGGGTAGTGGTGTAATAAATTTTTTTGATCTGCACTATTCACTCATTACATTTAGCATTGTTAATTTCATTCCAGCCATTCATATCTTTCTTTTTTCATTATACAGAATTAGTGAATACAAATATTCTCTATTTGCAGCATAATAGTTATGTATAAACAAAAAATTATAAAAATGTGGTAATTTAACGTATTCTGATACTCTTAATATTAAATATAAACAAGAGATGTGTGGGTTAAGGAAAATGTACTACTTAATCATGCTAAGATAAATTTATATCTATTCATTTTTTGTTAACATAAACTCCAATTTTTTTTTGTCATGCAATGTACTGGTCTTACAGATTTTATTTTTAATTGGAGTAGGGTCTACATTTGAAGGTTTATGAAATAAGGATTTGCTTTAAATATCGAAAATACAGAGGAAGAAATATATATAGTTAATATGGGCAAATATATTATTAGAAAATGTTTATATGCATTTAAACAAGAAAGTTAAAATTTTTTGGCTCTTAAAGATTATGAAAGCTATAGTTTCAAAATTGAAATTTTTTATTTTGTTATAAATTAGCTACTGAAAATATGAAGTATTATTTAATCTTAATTTTCCACGTTATTAAACAACTATTATCTAAATCATTCAATTTGCTATGTACAGTGTAAAGAGAATTTTGTAAATACTGAAAACTTCATAAACGTTAGTATAGTTTTGCAAGCATTTGAACAATCTATTATAAGGCAATGTGAATTGTACTATGCATTTTAAAATTAGAAATATCACTGCCTAGTTCATGAGTAACTTGTGCATTGACATTGCATGTCATTATTTAATTTAATATAATCTGAAAATATACATTATTTATATGATGAATTAATGAAAAAAGAAACGACTCTACTAATTGTCATTTTATCTTATAAGGATTGCCATTATACTGATTTTGAGAGTATTTTCTTTTTGTACATATTGTGCGTGTATAATATTATGTGTATATATTGTGTAGATGTTATTATGATAAGATAATATACTACAAGTTAAACATATATTGATATATTATATCATATAAACCTACTTCAAATTCTTTAAATATACGATGATGCATGTAACAATTAATATTTCGGAGAACGCAAAAATAAGTATCACAGGTAACAGGTAAAAGTATTTTTATTCAGTTATTTGTTTTACATCAATTATATATATATCTTTATAAAAATATTTTATTATGACATAAAATATTGGAATAAAACTATTGATACGGTATTATTTTCCATTATTTTTCCACGTTTACACAATAATTTACAAACAATGCTGATCTGTTGAAGTTTCTGTACACATAAATATATCATCATCATGCTAAAGTTGGTGTTATTTTCACTTGGTAAAGTATTCTTTTGTGCATCCAATATTATAATAATTTTCCATATTAATAAAGTTTGTGTATTATAATAGCAAGAATTACAATTAAAACTGAAATAGTAAAACCTGTAATGTATAGTTTTATTTGATGATTCCCAGGTGAATCTATACCAATATCGACGGTTTTTACGTCCATGTCATTTTGAGAATAAAATTCTGTAGGATCTGTTTCAAAAATGCATGATAATATATATAAAATTGATCACAATACATTCAAGTATATAATATTTACCAGCTTCAAGTTCAATGTCTTTCTGAACATTACTTTCCTGAACTTGTAAGTCTAGAAGTTCTTGCAATGACAAAAGAGCTTCTTGAGGTCCTTCACCTGGAAACAAGTAGTCTGATAATGTTACTTTGCTTTCTGGTAATGCTATTAATACTCTTCTTGGGGGTTCATGTAACGTTATATTTTCTGAAATAAAATAATGAAATGAACAACTGTTCGTAAATTTCTGATAATTCTTAATACATTGAAACAGATACCTTCTGGTAATCCACTTTCTTCTTCAATTAAACTAGCCCAATGCATTTCTAATCTACTTGCTAATGATCTTATTATGTCTTGCTTTACTGCAGTATTAGCTTCTCCCACATTTGCTTTTTGATGAACAAAAGTTCTACTTACTAATTGACCAATCAAACGTATGGATGCACTACATGGTGTTATTCTCACATCTGAGCTAATACTTTTTTCTTGCTAATAACATGTTAAATAAGTTGTGTTATATCTACTTGACATTTAACGTGTTTGATAATATTCTTATTGTTTAGAGATCTGTTTTATTTAAAAACATGTTTTAAAATAACAAAACTTATAATACTTACACATGGAATGTATAACATAATTTGAATAGATTTGTCATTATTATTTTTCTCATTACTTTTACATTTTTCATCCTTTTTGCTTTTGCTAATTACTTCCAATATATCATCTGAAGACCAAACTTCCCCTTCAATAACAGTAAGAGAAGATTCAATGATATCTGATATTGTCTTTATAATATCTTCTAACTGTTTCTTAAGGGTTTCTGGGTCTTTATTAGCAGCAATGAGAAATAGATGATCAAAATCTATAACTGCTTCAAGTTGGTGCCATTTGGTTCCTTTAGTTTGAAATTTCCAATTTGCTGGCTTCAAAATTCCATTTTTATTGGTTTCTATAGATTTACAAGTGTACCTAAAAAATAATAAACATTTATTCAAGGTATTAAATATATTATAATATATTATACTTTTGTGTGATGCTGTTTAAACTTAGGATAAGATGTTCCTCATTATTATTGCCATATAGATACTTATTATGTGACAAATATTTATGCATTGTTGTAAGAACAGATTTGAGTTTTTGTACACTACTGTTGTCATTTATAATATCTTCTGGACCAACAATAAATGTTCCAAGAACACGCATTCCACCAGGCAACATTCTGGTAACCTGTAAATAATAATATTAAAGATCTTTTAGTTTTGATTATGCTGTACTAAATACATCATTAAAACATTAATAATATACTGATATATTATTTAAAATAAAATGAACGTACATGTTTAGCATGATCCGCAACCCAACTCACAGGAATATCTTTTACTGATTTAATGTGATTTTCAGTAGTATTTTGTTCAGATTTTGTTGTAGAACTAAGTAATGTTTCTTCCACCACATTCTTACCAAGTGGTGGTGGTGTTTTTGCTAAATGTACGATATAATCTGTTTGACCAGCGCTCTGTAATATTAATTATAATTCAAATTAGAAAATATAGTATGAAAGCATTGAAACTTTGACAATACGAATATCTTAACCTTCTTACTATCGAAAGCATTAATTCTAAAAAGAATATAAATTAAATCAAATGGTATTAATTTCGATAAAAATTGTATGAAAATGTATTAAATATACTAATTGGAATAACCTAAAAGCATGTTAATAATTACATATGTTAGAGGAAGTGAAAACAGCAAAGATGACGTGAAATTGAAACATACAAAAATCGAACCTGTCCCACAATTAGTCCTATCGTATATTCATCTGGCTTTGCTAATGATGTTAAATAATTGTGAAGACGTTCCTCTGCGTATATAGTTCGCCCCATTACTTTCGACGCTTTTGTAAACACGTAAAATCTACCTTAGCTTCAAACGTTACAGTTATTATGCACACGTTGCATGTACTGTAACCAGCTGATCATTTGTTACTAGTAAGAGTACCAGGTACTCTTTAATAGAAGTATGTAGTAAAAATCATAGAAGAAATATAATGTATATCAAGAATTATAATGCAATCAATAGAGGAGTTTATTGTAAAAGAATAATTAAGGATTGTAATTACGTCTTATTGAAAAAATTAATAATTAATTGTATGTTATGCTACTATTCATGACTTTTTTTATGAAAAAAAGCGGTTTGCGAATAATTGAATTAGAAATATCGCTATGAGATAGTTCTTTATATTTGTTCTCAGAAAGAAAATATAAATTATATTTTTTTTAGACCATTTTATTTTACTTTTCTTTATTTTTGTTTTATGTATAATTAGATACATGGACGTAAATCACAGCACAACTCAAGGTTATTTTAAATATTTATGCATTTATGGGGATATTTTTTATACACATATGTCATTAATTATGTCGGTGACATGTAAAATGTAATCGAAGTTTCAACAAACTTTGATAATCAATCATTTGAGATCTAAACTCAAAATATTAAAGAATTTAATATATTTGACTTAAAACGTCAATAGCTTAAATTCTATAGCATCATTAACAATTAGCATTAACAATTTATGTGAAAAGAACTTTTTTGTAAATTAAAAAATGATAAATGAGATTTACTGATGAAAAATAAAGAAAATTTTCAAAGATGTATTAGGTAACAAAGTCATTTTCATGTATTATTTTACATTTAAGTGACAAGTGCTATTTGAAAATTGGGAAAAAGTACAGTTTTGTTTCCTTCATTTTATCAATTTTATTCCGTAGATGGAAACAAACTTTACGTAAATATTTACATTGTCATCGAAACACGGATATAAGTTCAGTTGATCGTTGTTTATCAATGATCAAGGAATTAAGCGTTTTTTCCGTAAGCTCCGAAGGAATGGCGCAACAAGAACGTTTACAAAATAATCATACATATACATTTATGTATACCATATTTTTTATATATTTACAAAAACTTGTATACGAAATTTTTTTTAAAGATCATAAAAATATGTCAGGAAAAACAGCTTTTTGCGAGACAAGAAATTCGTTTCTGGGAAGCGACATTATAATTACAATTATCACGTATTTGTTTAATGCTCTATTTTCAATATACATGGTGCTTCGTTGAGTACTTTATTGAAACACCGTGTAGATTTTTTATTATTTATTTTTCGATCTGTAATTAATTTACAAAAATTGTTAAATTACTTTTGCGAATGGTAGAAATGACGATTTAAATATTGGCACTAGATTATTTTGCTAAAGCGATTGTTGACGAGGAGAAAATATCGAAGCAAAGTAAGAAAACAAAACATGCATTTTAAATTTCTATGCTCGGAAAGAAGTGCTTTGATATTGCGTTTAATTACGTGCACGATAAGCTGTCTAATTCGCTAGCGCCATAGTAAACTGTCCGTATGTTTTTAAACGCTCTTTCTGTATATTTTGTCACTGACTAGTGGAAGTTATTAAGATACATATTAAAGTGTAGAGTAAACATCTACATTACACACACTGTCGTATAATGAATATAGAACATGAAAATATAGTTTATATATTTAGTGCAAAATTTTGTAACATGTTATTTTTATACCTTGAGAATTTTTTAATCATTTATAACAAAAGATACATAACTTCAGTCTATAGAATTTTAAATTGAGTTAATAAAAAAATTGTTAATATTTAATATAAGAGTGTCATAACAGATAATTTCACTTTGAAACAAAATATTAATTTAATTGTCATTAGAAATAGTGGCGTGTTATTTGAGCGGACGGATAAGGGATTTTTAGGAAAGCGAGAGAAAGTTTCTTAAAGAGTTTCTAGAAATACTAATCTATGTTAATTTTATGTAAGATACTTTCGTGAACGATACTTTAAAGCGTAACAGTAGTAATAGTAGTGTTAATCGTACAATTTTTAATTTAATGTAAGACATGCTGAAGTTGTATTTGCATTGGTGCACAAAATTCCTCAACTTTTGATTGTGTTATTACTATTTTAATAGGAATAAAAGATTTAGTGAAGCAAGTGTTGTTACAAGTATTAAATGTTAAAATTCTCTATGAATGGCGACAAAGCAATTTCTTTGAAGGAATAATCTTACAAGCAATACGCTGATCGAAATATTTTTCGATAAGAATCTTAAATTGTAGCCTTTGAAGAGGAGTGGTACCTTCGCAAAAGTTAATTTTCAATAAAACTATAGCTAACATAGATATTAATATTGCATTAAAATTATATGAAGTGAAACGATTAAAAAATATGAATCCATTAATAGCACATTATCAGATAAGTACATCGTTTTCTTTTCTGAAATGATTAGTGGGAAATATCAATTAAAATGAAATTTAAGTACACTGTATACCATGTCCATTATAACAAAAGTTCATTCGTTGGTGAAGGTTATAATAAGATTTATATCAATAACACTGTGAATGTATCTCTACTTATAGGAAACGTTTACTCCTTACGCGACGAGTGAAGAAGTTCAGTTTAAATTAAAGTTTGTGAGCATTGATCGTTGAGTTATCTTAAAATGTATCACGTATTTGTGCGAATAATTGTAAGAGAAATAAGTAAATTATAACTAAAAATATCAACTTATCACAAAGGTAACAGGTCAATGTATAAATATGTATACATAGGATAATTCACTAAAAATAAAATGTTTAATTATTTCCTTCATTGCAAAATTTTCATTTGAATTCAAATACACGTTACAAATAAATATAAAATTTAAATTTAGTATTTCTCGTGAAAATCTATATAATTAAGTACATATACAAACATTGCTTTTGTACTGCAGTCATTCTAAACTGAAATAATTTTTGTCTATAGTTTAACGGTAAAACGAAAAATTAAATGTTCTATTTCTAGCGAATTATCCTATGTATTAACATTGCACGAAGAAATCCCATGTCTATAATATCATTCCAGTTCCTAACCCTTTTGATTCTTTTTGAACCTGTCCTGTTAGTTACTGATAATCATATGTAGAAAACTGCGTGATATATACATTTCTTTCTTCGACGTCTTCCAAATGCACAGCAGTTAATGTTATTGAGCATTGGGCAAATATACTATACACATACTCGTTGATTAGGAGTGTCGTCGTACGACTTGGAAGACTCCATCAAGGATTCGAGCGTCTGTAGCTTATGCACAGAGCAAGAAACTAATCGTTTCCTTTCTCGTTACATTACTTGTTTCTTTACATTACATTGTCATTCGGTAATCGCCCTGAGTGCAATTTATATTTTTCCGTCGGGGATTTCTTTAAAATTTTCCAGCAACGAGATTCCTCTCTTAAAGTCTTCACGATCAACAATCCCTCGTTTCTTTGTTTTTCAAAGGATCCCGTTTTTTCGATGCATCTTTCTGTGTGAAGATTCCCCTCTTAGGAAGCGTTCTTTCTGGGCTAGGACTAGGACTAGGGCTGGGGCTAGGCGAAGAACTCGGCGATCTTGAACTGCTCGAACTTGATCTTTCTCTTTTTTTCTGTTCGATGTGCTGCTGATAATCGTACAGGGGACCACGAGCAATTTTCAAGATAGTTTCTAGCTCGTAGACTCGTTCCTTCAACCTGTTATAATGATCCAGATCGAATCCTATTTTTCTTGCTTTCTTATGGAGCGTGATGAGTTGTCGTCTGTTCATCACGTCTGGCAGCATGTATTCCTGTTCATGCATATATTTGAAAAATGTTAATTTCATATTTAAAAATCGTTAATGAATGGACCTTAATAATATAAAGTCTCAAGGTTTAAATCAAGTAACTTTCCCTTAAAATTGCAGCTTTTACTTTATCAAATAACAGGTTTATTTAATTAATCGTTGTTCTAATCAAGTCACCGGGATGTGGTAAATTGAATTGCTACTAGTAACCTGTCTCGTTAAGGCGAAGTAGATGAAGAAGATCATCGTCGTGCCGTAGTTAACGAAATATGTAACCGGTTCCATGATGTCCCATGAGTATTCCCACCAGGTTAACCTGGCTAGGCAGCTGAACTGAATCGACATTACGGCAAGACACACCCAAATAAAAATGTTTGTCCTTCTTTGTGCAGTAGTCTCTAACTCTTGCAGTTTCTACAACAAACAAAAAAGTATCTATTAATGCAAATCAATATATATTTTTTACCTGATAAATTTGCGCAATAGAAGAAATATCGTTCTCAATGTATAACATTTTCGAGATTAATCAGAATACCGGTAGTAGAAACAGTTACGGATTTCCGCTATGATAAAGTATCTAGATCTGAAACTACAGTAAAACTAGCAACCAAATAACTTTCAACCAGTTACTACGGTAATCATCACCGTTAATAAAATGTTTATTTTTTAAATTATTTCGTTATCTTAATAAAATGTTCGTTTTAGAAATTATCTTATATTTTTTATTTACCACTTATAAAAGGACGAATAAAATGTGAAATAGCCAAATCCTCAAAAACTTTAAGATATTCAAGTTTGAAATTATTTCTCTTGTTTTGCATTTCTTTTAACAAAATGGAGGAAGTGTGTCCTTTCTAGAATCAAGCATAAGTATCGTCCTAAGAACCTTATCTCCGATTCTAAATACATAATACAAAATACAGTATTTCTTATTTATTTCTTAATTATTCTTTTTCTTTATCTCTATGGTGCACTGAAAAATGTCAGATGGGTATGAAAAAAATCATCATCTTCTTGTATAAGATTAGTATTTAGACGTCGAATTTCTGAGGGTTATGAAAATGCAAATATGATATGCGTATACAGTAGGAAAATAACAACCAGGTAAAAGAAAGAAAACAAAAGATAGAGGCTTAATTATACGATCGCGTAAGTGCAGATACGAAGATAATTAAAACAGAAACTCGTTGAGAATGAATTAATTCATCGCCTCGAGGAGAAAACGAGCGGTAAAAGAAGAGAGCATGCGTTTAGCCGAATAATTGTGCACACATATACCGTATCTCGAAGCGTTGGAACGTTAATAATACGTTAAGACTCTTTTTACAATTTAATCTAGATGGCACTGTTGTGCGCGTCATTTCTATCGATTCACGCTCGCTATCGAATTTCGATCGATTAACTCGATCTGTTATTACGGTAAACAGAGAATAGGCATGGTTCGTTCGATATAGTACACTAGTGAAATTTATCGAATATAAAAATACATGTATACCAACTCAGAAACAGTAATTTAATATATTTAGGTAGATATGAAGACTTGGAACGGCAATCAATGTTCGGTAATGTTACTTTGGAACGAATTCTTTCATTTATTGAATATTAATAACAATGATTAATGAACAATTGAAGTTCTTCTAGGTAATCGAAATATCCAGTAGAATTTAAAGATAGTAAATTAGCAGTAAGTGATAACGTCAATGAATTAAATTGAAAGTGAAAATTAATTAACGATTTTTTCCGTTTTACAGCTGAGAGTTAAATACTTACAGTTACAAACTATAGGTGGCATTATAGTGTCATGTCGGCATTAATCGTAGGGGTGTTTAATGGAATAATTTACGAGCGTGCTGTATCGTACGAACTAACTCTGCCATTAAAAAGTTTTTCGAACCAACTTTGCCACGAGTTAATCTGACATAACGAATGTAATTATAATTACAATTATAAAGCTTCGAAGTTTTCAGTTTTTACGATCGTTCGATCGTGATATAAACTTACTTACTACTTAACCTATCTCGACATATTTTGTTTTTGGTGTCGAAGATAAATGGAAAAGACGTATTGTTTAGGTTTTCTTACGTATCTCATTAATTCTAATACAGAAGAATAGAAAAAGAATATTTATCAATATTGTTCTTGCAGTAAAATTAAAAGTCTTTCAGAAAGTCTTATAAGTTATTGGTAGGTTTATGTATTCGTATATCAGTTTATTTTAATGTATTTCTTTCAGTAATTTATAAGTATCTGGTTCTTAAATGAACGAGAATGAATAATATATTGAGTCGCAATATAAAACTATCTTAAATTTTCAAACACAGACTACTGTGTGCTTTGCTCCGTTAGTTACTTGGAATTTTATAGGGAAATTTAAAAGCAAAATGTAATTAAAATAATTAGTACATATGACTTGCCTCGTAAATTCATTCTTATTCCGAATTTATTAAAAAGTAAGAATAAATTTTGCGTGGCTCGTGGACAGAAGATATACGTATAAATACATACTTTAAAACTGAAGATCCAAAACTGAGTAAAATATTGGATAATTTACCTGTTCGAGGGGCTCTAGTTCCACCCTAAGGGTCTCCAGTTCAGCTAATACTTCTCTTTCTAATCGGACCTGGTGTTCTTGAGACTGCATCATCAGAGACATTTGGCCACCAAATATATGGGGGGATTCGATCTGTCCTAAATTCTCCTGGAAAAGATTACATTAAACGACATTAGATTAATTTTCCTTCAATTTTCATTTCGTAGCTATTCGATATTTTATTACAAAATGTTTCATCTACTCGACAGCCCCCCCAAAAATTAAAAATAAGAAAGAAAGAATTGAGAATTATTCGGTAATTGTATCTCACGTTATCAAATATATTCGAGTATATTTTGATATTTTTCTGAATTAGTTTTCGAAAAGTTACAAATCGTTTAATCGAGATAAATTTTTCAGGTACAACTTACCGTAGTGCACTTCTGATGATGCAACGGCGGTGTGACCAAGTACTCCTTGTCATTTATTATCAGTCGAAAGTCGTTCTCCAGTAGCGATTCGATCGTATTGTTGGAGCCTATCCTGACGCCGTCTGGAACCATCCAGTGAAAAACCTTTTACGTACCGTAAGTCAATTTTACATAAAGTCAACTTTCGTGGTGCTGCGTCTATAAAGTATTGCTCAGGGACTCACCAATGGACCTCACGAGTGCATGATCGATACCACGATCTTCCTTCTTCAGCATCTGGATGAAGTCTCCGACCGTGTGGGTAATTGGTTTCAGGATAAACACACAGTTCTCGTTCCTGGATGGCAGTGGCACCGTGATCTTTGGCAATCCTCGATGGTACGACACGGTTACTGCGGCTGATGGAATTTTAATCTTCGATATTTCGTATGGACACGACTTCAATGAGTTTACTGCCAGAAAATTTAACACCTTTTGGGAAAATGAGATATTTAAATTACCTCAAAGGCGGAGGAAGATTGCGTATACTTTATCGAATAAAGAAATAGTTAGAAAAAAATGAGCCTTCCTTATCAACTAAAAAGTCAGCTCATTAATACCTCGAGCTCAAGCTTCTTTCAATTTTAACGCATAAAATATGTTCTTCCATATTAAGTTTCCTTTAATGGAAATACATTAACGTATGTATGATATTTGCTGCAACGATGTGAAGATACGCTGAATTACAATGTAATTTAAACTACCTTACTTTGAAACAGATTTCAGAGAACCAATAAACGTTATGCACCCTGAGTGTACAAATGGTATTTCATGAACTTTAAATCGTCACAGATGCAATTTCAAGCCTGAAGATATATCGATAAGCGATTTTCCTGTGCAAGAGAGTGTCGAACTACTTTTCATTATCGAAACGACCAGGTCAGACTAATTGAATGCAGTTTCTCTTTTTTAACTTTGTCTAACGAGCGTTTCTTGCAACAATCTACTTGCTAGAAGAGTAAACTCCTTTCTTTTAGGAACAAAACGATTCTGGAAGAGCACGATTGAAATTGGATTTCAGCTTCACATGCTTTTTGCAACGTATAAGTTAGCTGAGCAACGAATTGTCGCGACAGAGGTACTTATTCTCCGGAGCTTCGCGCGACTTCTTCGACTGCCTCTTTTTCTCGCAACGTTGGAACATCTTGGTATTCTTGGTGCCAGACGCACGTCGTAAAATCTGAGAATACCGCATGGTTTATGCCTCTTTGTGCGAGTCGAGAAAATGAGAAAAGGAGCTTTCCCTTGGACTCTAAGAATACGTATGATACTTGAGATTTTCGATTTTTTTCGCATGCCTGAAGCGAATATTCCAAAATGAAATTATCATCGATGATAAATAGCGCTGCGAGAGTTCCACCATGATAATCCATCATCGACTTATCCGCCGAATGAAACCGAGCCATTTTTCTTAATAACATCGGACGATCGTCGATATCGATGATAAATAATGCCTCATATGTCCCGCTTGATGAAGCACATACCATCACCGGAATAGAATAACGGTGATAAATTAATTGCCTTGCGCTTCATTATAAAATTTACCCTTAATAGCACAATATCTATGATATGTGCATCAAATAAATTTACGTAATATTACTATAATTGCCACGGTTCATCTACGGTCAACGTCACGTTAATTATTTGTAAACAGAGATAAAACAGAATTAAAGTAGATGGAGAAACGAAGAAACTAGAGAACACTATGCAAAAGGACTCCATTTTCGACTCAGTTAAGCTCAGTATGTTTCACCAAGTAACAAAGCTCAAGCTGACCAGGTGTAAGTCCTCTTCAACCGGATCAGCGGATCTACCTTGGATTTTCGGCGTTAATGGACTTGGTTCGAGCTGTATTGCCAACCGTTTAAGGAGAAAAGAAAAGGGCCAAGGATCGTTTAGCGAGGAAAATCACGTCGTTTCCGTGAATCCGTTCGCGTGATGGCCGCATGATCGAGAGCTGGATCGCGTTAACCTGGTTAGCAACCGTTGATATGAGGAAGGTATTAGAGTGTGGAGACCGGAATGGGACGAGTACGTGGATCTTTCTGTTGTAAGCAGAACGGAACCGAGCGCCGCCGATCCGGCTACGCGATCTTTGAAAATGCATCCACGAGGCTGGAACACTTTGCGTCTGCTGCGTGGACCGAGAAAAATCGTTCCTGGTCGAGGGTATGTTGGTTGGCGCACGATGTCGGGGAAAAGTAGGATTCATTTCTGGGCTGAAGTCTCAATTTCGAGGGAGAAGATGAGAGGCGATGTGTACCGTTCCCGGAGACGACACGTCGACGTCGTAAATTAAGATATTAGATGACGATATCGATTGGTGTACCTGTATCTAGGGCTGTTCGCGTCTCGTGGAAACACCTTGGATCTACAGGCCCCAAGAAAGTCGTCTGCGAGTTGATATTTAGAATCTTGTCAGCAGAAAAATGGGAGAAAATGCGAATCTTTAGATGGCTGCCTTTCGAGTTCGATTTTGCTGTAATATAGACACGATTCGTGGAATAATTCTGCGTTTATCTCTAAAGATGTGCGATTTTACGTAGGCAATTTCTAACTGTTTAAACCATTTCTGTATCGGGAAAATTTGCAATTTTATATAGGAAGTTTCTAACTCTTGAAACTGCTTTTTATCCAGTTTCTAGATAATGTAGTCTTACGTGTCGGATAATTAAGAAGAAATAGAAAACTATCTGTCGAGGTGAGGTGCACGCTACGTGACACTGTTTTAATAATAAATAAGTGCACGAAGTTACGTTTCTCTCTGGATAAAAAGTAAAATAACTTTGCCAAAAGCGATACAGCGTTTTCAATAATTACAGATGGTCTGCGCGTTATCGATTTCTCAGAGCTAAATTGAAAAGGTGTATCAGGTTTTATCCGTGCGATTAAAGTGATTGTAAAGAATGATCCTTCAATTAGGAAAAGCAGGGAGATTTAATTTTTTGCTCGTTATTTTATCAAGTATTTAAATTCGCAAATGGGGCTAATGATAAAAAATGGGTTAATACATCTCCATTGCGTTAAGTTCTTGCAGCATTCATAAAGGAGGGAAAAAATGTTCACAAGCGTGGTACAGCGAACTTTTCTATCCTTATAAAGAACTGTAAGCGCTGGAGACCGATTTTCGTGCCTCTGAAAACCTCCTCGAGAATTCAATAACGGGCTCTCGGTCTACAGAGGTCCAAAGGAATAGTCGTGCAAGCGGTAGCTTTTGAAAAAGCGTATGATAGCGTGAAACGAACGCCGGAAGGAATTATGCTTGCTGGAATCGAGCAACAACCGGTCTGTCGATCAACGTTTGCGTAATAACGCTCGCGTAGTCTGCTATAGGGAACCAGGCTACTTTTTGTGGATTATTTTAATCATTGTATCAAGAGGATCCTCGATTGTCCGATTATCCGGAGTAGATTTCATCTCATCCGGCTTAGCATTCATTTACATCGTTTACATCGTTTACATATATCATACGTGGATGTTTCACTTTATGCTTCCAGTAAATGCATTTTTCGACTAAGCTTATGAATTATTACGACTATTATTATCATTTACGCTCGTTCCTATACAATTAATCACGCGATCGACGGATTCTCGCGAATTTATGAAATTTCCGAGGAACAGTACAACGCACGTGGTACAGCAAAATTTATTTGATCGTTTCGATTCACCTGTCGCGACGCAAATTCGTCAGAAAATGCATTCGTCGCGTCGTAACTGCAGTTTTACTCGTTCAAAACACCGCGATTCTAAAGGAGGCGAAGCTTAATCCGGAGAAAGTCGTCCTCTTTACCGGTAATCCGTTTCATCACACGTCGCTCGACTACTTCTGTCCAATTGTTCTCGAAATTACGCGTAGGATACCGCGTCGCGTGGCAGGTCGTCGCCAGGACACGATCGTGCAACTGTAGGAGCGATTAAAAGGACGAACAGATCGCAAGGAACGAACGGGAAAATTATCGATAAAATGGCTCGAGTCTCGGCTCCGATATTCGATTTCGATACTACGAGCGAATTTGAAAATGTACACGGTATCTGATTTCCGGTCCCGAGAGGGAAACCAAATCCAACGGCGAGTTTCGTCGGCGACCATGACTCGAAATCGCATGGCGAAAATGCGTTCGATGGGGAAAAAGGAAGGAAAGGAGTGGAAACGGAGGAAAAAAGAGGATCCGTTCAGCAAAAATTCGGTTCGTCCGCGATTTATTCGACGTCCGGATTAAGCGCCCCCACAACGATGGCCAACGCTTGTTTCTTCTTCGGCGATTCGCGGCTCGCGCTGGAAGTGGCAAAGATGCTACCACCACCTTCTGGTGTCGTCCTCCCTTCTTCCTGGCTCTGTGAAAAGTTCGCGGTGGTGAAGTTACCCGTGCCGGCCAGTCTATCTCTGGATTCTGCTCAATTAATAAGTGACGTGCGCGCCGGCGTTATTACACCGGGTTCCTCCGGTGGCAAACGCAAAAAAAAAAAGGAAAAAACGAAAAAAAAATAGCAAGGGGAAGACTAGGAGACGCGAAACGCTTTTTTTCCCTTTCTTGTCGCGCGCTCTCGACCGTGTTTCGGTGAACGTTCTTCGGGTGGCGTGGCCTCTTCAAGGATGCACAACGACTGATCGTCGGGGATTTCCCCAAGGGTAGGCGAATAATGTATTATCCCGGTGTATGCACCACGGTTCCCAGAGCAAGTGTACGGTAGTTCGGTCTTCCATTACATCCCTTTGACTTTCCTCGTACTCTAGGTAGGGTGTGTAATACGATGGTGTGTGTGGGTTCCGCAAGGTGCATTTTCAGTGGTATATGTCTCATCATGCTGGTGTTTTTACGTTCGTCGTATGTAGGTTAATTAGGGGTAAATGTTAGGTGAAATTGTACATAGAATTGGAAACGTCGTATGCGCAAATTAATTTTTCCTTTTTTTGTAATTTGTCTTTCTGTGTTTCGTGTGGTTTACGTATTTAATTTCAAACTTTCCATTAGAGGAATATGTTTCTGATACATGTACGTGGTACATACGGGAATAAGTTTCTTTCACCTATGGGATATACACGTGTTAGGGGAGTTTAAGTTGGAATTTACTTGAAAAACAGCCTTAATGTAGAAAATACCAAACCTCCTGGTAAAATTGGTATATATATTAATATTTAGGAAAATAACATTCTTTTTCCGAAATTATATAAGTATATTATTTATTTTTGGTCTATATTCTTGGGCCTTAAACCGTGAAGTTTAGACCCTTTCCGGATAAAATTAACGTAGGAACAACTCTCGGTTCAACTAAACATGATATACCCTCCCCGTCTTTCTCATTTAGCTACTTCTTTGGTCGATTCTACCAGCGAGAAAGCGTAACCCTCATGCGCCATCTATTCACAGGCGCGGTTACTACAGGCACTATATAGGTAGCCAGAGCACTAGCACCCGAAAAGCATTTATCGAATGGAATTTTTTTCTATTGGCTATACATTTTGCCCTGTATTTGCTTTCGTGCACCTTGCTTTGCTCACGATCAATCTTTTTTCATTCGCAAAATGGACACGGTCAACGCAATATCCTTGTAACGGTGTTCGCCGGGAAGAAAACTGTTGGCTTAAATCTACCGTAAAAATGAATCACGAGGATGTAACATTGGAAAAATAACGAGAAGGAAAATGCGTCTAGTTGCTCGTTATCGGAATCGTAAATGAATTTATTATAACTGCCGATCGAAGCGTGAAAAGGATTTAACAACTGTGCTATTTCGCTGTATTGTTATTCATTTATGCAGCAAACTTTTAGCCAATCGCGCGTCTAATGGAATATATCGATGTTGTCTTAATAGACGTTGAACGAACAAACGATCGATTTGCGTTGGTCCATAAATGCGATTATATTTTGCAACAGTATACGATACGAGCTTAATTAATTGCGTCAATATGTAAAGCGATATTCGAGTGAAAATTATTATTATTGAATAATGGTGAATTTCTAATAGGCCTCGTCGTTCAGGGGTCGACCATGGGTGGAGTGCAGAGCGGAACCCATACCCTTGGAGAGGCATTATGGGTGCACGAGAGACAACGTCAGAAATGCCATCGGTGAGTACCTCATTGTCGCGAGAAAATAAAAAATAAATAAAAAATACGCGAATAATAACGAAATAAGGACAGTTGCGTAATAAAGAAATCGAGAGAATGTTTAAAAAATATTTTACGTAAATATTACAAGAGGATGCAATTTATCGAGCAATTCGTTTAACTG